AAATGAAGATCCACAAGAGCTGAAGTAGTAGCTCCTGTCCAAGTCTGAAGGGTTGAGTGCCCAAAAGTAGAAATTCCTGTCCAAAAAATGGCAGGCTGAAAACCCAAGAAAAGCCAATGTTTCAATTCAAGTCTAAAATCAGGAAAAGACTGATATCCCAGCTCAGGGCAGTCAGACAAAAGGTGTCCTGGCTTACTCAGCTATTTTGATCCGGCCTTTAGTTGATGGAATGAGGCCCACCCAAATTAGGGAGGGCAATCTGCTTCACTCAGTCTCAGATTGAAACCTTAATGTCATCTACAAACCCTCACAGAGATACTCACAATGTTTGACAGAGTATCTGGGTGGGTCCTCCATAACCCAATCAAGTCACTACATAAAATTAACCTTTGTATAGTGTATCAAAAGACAGACAATAAACTCAAGATGAAGATAACTAGAGGCCCCAAAGTCAAACTAACTGACAGAAGTGAAAAAGACACAGGGATTAATTAGGATATAGAGAGAACTAGCTCAGTCCCTGGGGATAGTCCAGCATTCCCTTTGTTCAATCAAACTAAGGGGAACTACGAGGTATTACTGAATAATACCAAGTTCAAAATGAAAATGACACTACATCGTGAAATACTTACCAAAGGCCCAGAGCACATCACTAGATGGAGTACCATTCAAAAATCTTTATTGTAAGAACTTTTGTAAATGTCACATTGAACCCCCAGCACAGCAATAAAAAAAAAGAAAGAGAAAAGAATCTTCAGAGCCAAGTAAAGTGGACACTAAGACACCAGTGCTCTTAAGAAACAAATGATAAATTTCCTGCCTCAAAAGGTCAGACATTAAGGTCAAAGGACATTAAATGCTCCTTAATTAGACTATTTTAAATAGTAGTTAAGTGGTATTCTACAAGGCACAGCAGGATTTAACATGTCAGAACATGGCTTTCTCTGTACTTGAATTAAATTGATGGCATCTCATGCATCCAGATGTATCTCAAGACCTGGAGTGTCCTGACAGCTTTGACCAACCTACCAGAATGAGACAAAATCAAAGAAGTGAATTAGAATGAATTGGATTTCTGTTCCACATAGTTATCTTCATTTTCATGTGCCTTCTCCTGAAGTGCTAAGATTTCATTTAACTATGGCTCTTCTAACAGTCTCTTTAGTAACTTTTTTAAAAGCCCTTAAGTTCTCATGCCTGGACTCTGTTTAATAACAACCTTCAACCTCATCCTTCTACAGGACATCAATACAACTTAAAAGAAGCCAAAAAATTCCACGGCCTCTGTGGGTTGTTCCCCCAACATCTGTCAAATGCCTGAATCATCACACCTTAAATGGTGTTTCACCCCATCAGGACATATTTTTTTATCTCACAAATATTGAAATCTTTAGCTATTGAGTCACCAAGTGAGGTGGTTATCTATGCCCTACAAACTAACTAAGATGACATCTTCATCTACCACACAGTTAGGAGCAAGTTCCAAATTTCTATTTTCTCTGACCGCTTTTGAGTTCTTCAAGAAGCAGACACCAAGATGGAATTAGACATGTGAGATAACTAGTAGAGGATATGTTTGAGATGGATACAAAGGTGGTTGAAAGAGCTATTGGAAAATGCCAGTCTTCCCTCTGTAAAAGACTCAGGAAGGATAACAAAGAAAGGTCTTAAGTGCATTTCTAGAAGTTTTGGCAAGGCCAGTGGAAGTCTTGCAGCCATACTTTGCTGTCAGAAGAGTTTTGCCTCAGGAATTAGGCTGCCTACATTCATCTGATTCTGGGTTATTGGCAGACAATAGATTCTGAGTTGTGGCTTCAGTGGTAGATTCTAGATGGCAACAGCCAAGGCCTTTGGTCAACCACATTCCCTGCCCACGAGAATGTGGTTACTCTTGTGTTCCGCAAGCTTTTCACCTCTTATGCTTAGGTGGCCAACTTTATGCTTCTTCGCTGCATACAGGCTTCAATTTTTTTTAACTTGTTCAATAGCACTGGTATTTGAACTCAGGGCCTCTCACTTGCTAGGCAAACTCTCTACCACTTGAGTCATATCACCAGGCCATTGCTCTGATTATTTTAGAGTCTCACTTTCTGCCTAAGCCATCTTGGACTGTGATCCTATTTCAGGCTTGCTGCCATTGTGGGATAACAGAAACATGCTAATACACCCAGCTTTTTTACTGCAAACATTTTTGCCCTGGCTGTGCTGAAACCATGATCCTTCTGATCTCAGCCTCCCACATAGCTGGGATGACAGGTGCACACCACTGAAGACAGCTACTGGATAAGATGGAGACTCACTAACTTTTTTCCCAAAGCTGACTTCAAACCATGATCTTCCAGATCTCAGTCTCTTAAGTAGCTAGGATTACAGACATGAGCCACTGGCACCCAGATAGAATTCACAATTTTTACACTAAAATACTCCAAAACTGGAATTGAAGAATATTGGTATTTTATAACCAATCCAACACAATCTGCAAAATCTTTGGAAAAGGCAGACAAGATTCATTTATGTGCTAAGCCAAATTCCAAAGAAAGAAGGCAATAAATGGGTCTCAATTTATGTCTCTCTCCAGCATACTCCCCCTCAGAAAACCTAAATATCTATGCTGAAGGAAAGTAGCAAGGTTTCTATACCTTAAGACATTTCACCTGATGATTATATATTTCAAAATCACTTCAGGAAAGTCTGGGTCATTGAGCCTGGCCCTCTCACTCCCATTCCTCAGAGATACCTTAAGAACCAGTGAGCTTGTTAGGCACTGACTCCAAAACCTTCCTCTGATCCTCAAACACTGCGAGGGTGGGTAAAACAGAAGACTTTGCTTTTCCATTCATAAGGAGAACGTTTGACTCCAAGCTTAGAGAGAGAAAAAATTAAGGAAAGATCCATATGATGTAGTGATGGAATAAAAATTAGAGACGGTATGAAGAGGGAAATGCAAATAATTGGGACCTGTGCGATCACACATTCCAGATTATCTAAGAATGGGGCAATTTTCACCAATTAGACTAACCGGGGCAAAACTGGAAGTCAAATTTCCTGGTTTTCATGTAGTGCTCTTTCTCTGCACTTCACTTCCCTTTATGTCATCCCCAATAATGTTTTTGTTCTTACAGCCTAGTATATTCAAGTTTTTTCTGTTTAATCAATTGAGTTCTAGTCTTAGTAATTGAGGTTTATCCTTCGTCCTGCCTTTGGGAAGGGAGTGCTGCAAAGGAGACTGCTTTGTTGATCTGTACATTCTCAGTCTTCTGTACAATGATACCTGCATTAGGAATGTTAAATGCACAACTCAGCCCTCAGGGGAGAGGGCTTTTAGCTATTTCACAGTTAAGAAAAATGAGTATTAGAGAGAGAAGCTAGGAGCTTTAGAGTTGTTTTTTAAAAAATAACCTAAGCTTAATTCCTGGGTTTACCTCTCAATAAGCAGAGTAGCCCTGGCAATTGTACCACTTTTGAGAACCTCAATTTCTTCATCCACAAAGTAGAAATAGGAATACCAACCTTATAATGTAGTTATGAATTATGTCAGTAATTTTTAATCACTACAGTAAGCCCACATTATTCACAGATTTATTGTATATGGTTTTGACCTAGCATGGTCAAATAAATAATAAATAAAACAAAACAAAAGAATTTCAGAAACAATTTTTTAATTCCCCCACATGCACTGCCCTACACAGCTCAGTCAATAATGTTGAGAAGCTTTCAGTAAGTTCCACATTATTGACAGTTGTGTGTAAATCACTGTGTGATCTACTGTTTCCCTGCCTTTTGTTTTATGAAAATTTGCCTCCCAAAAATTAAATGGTGTCCAAAAAGCAAGGAAAAGTTAAGGCGCTTTATTTAAGTGAAAATTTTGTATTTGTTAAAAGGCTGCGTATCTTTAGCAGAAGCTGAGTGGCAAGACAGAAAAAATGAATCACACCTACTGAGCATTCATAGTTTTTTTCTCAATGATTATCTTTTTGGAGGCATAACCCACAGATCCCAAGGGTCTACTATAGTAGCTAAGTGCTTCATGCACATTAACCATTTTTCAAGTATTGAGTTAACATGTAGTCTGAAGGATGTCATTGTATCTATACATCATATAATTTGTAATGTTATTTTATACTGATCCATTTTTATAAACCCAGTACAATATGAGCAGGAATCATACAGATGGATCAGGAGTCAGGGAGGGTTTCTGTGGGAAAGGTAATGTTTTTCCTTCCTTAGAACCCTTGCATGCTTCAGACCTGGAGAGGAAAATACAAGAACAATACTAAAACATGGTCACTTTCCCATTCCCCTTCATTAAGCTTATAACTTTGGTCAGGCTACATTCTCTTTCATGAATGGTATCTCCATACCTACTGGCCATACAGGTCAGTCTTCTAAAACACTACATATTTAATGAGTATAAGCAGTTTTAGTAGCATCTCAGTTGCTAACAGTTAACTCAGGAAATCTTTCTTGTAGCTAAGGTGACTCTGAAATGACCCATTATTTTAGGGTTTGCTTGTTAAAGGATATATAGAAAATGAACTCTGAGTAGAAAGTATTAGTATATAACACCACAGTGTATTATAAACTTCAACCAAAACACTGATCTAGTGTAAGTAACTTTGTATATGGTTCATGAAGTTAGGATATTTTATCTTATTTCATTGTATAAAAAACGTGAACAATAATATATCATAAGATGTCAGGATATTTGTAAGAATTGCACGAAGAGTGCTGAATAAACATTTGTTGCCATTTGTAACTGATATTATTGTCATTGTTGGTTTACCTTCTTTGCAGTTCAAATATCCTCCCATCATAAGAAAATAGACATCTTCTACCTTTAAAATTTAGAGTTGTATACTCTTCCCTAAATTCCTTTGGGATTAAAAATGTTGGGCCTAATATCTCACACTGTTTGCAAGGTTCCCAATTGGGAAGTAGTCGTCCATATTTAAATACCTCCTTCTTCATTAGCTTTTGTGAGAGAAAAAAGGAAGCAGCAGTCATCTGATCTTAATTCCTATCTTCAGAATTTGGAGAAGTCTCTCTTGGATTTGCTTGGTGCGGACAGCATAGACAATAGGATTGAGGATCGGAGGAATAAGGAGATAGAAGTTGGCCAGCAGGGTGTGGATTGGAGGAGGCACCTGGTGACCAAACCGGTGAATAAGGGAAGAAAGAGCAATGGGAACATAGAAAACCAGTATGGCACAGACATGAGAACCACATGTTCCCAGGATCTTAAGCCTGGCTTCAGGGGTGGAAAGCCCCATCACAGCCCTGAAAATCATCACATAAGAGGCAGCAATAGCCACTGAGTCCAAGAGCAATACCAGAAAGCCAATGCTCAGTCCATAGACATTGTTGACTCTGCTGTCACCACATGTCAACGTGACCACAGCCATGTGCTCGCAGTAGGAATGGGAGATGACATGGGTTTTATAAAGAGGCAGCCGTAGGCGAATCATCAGAGGTAGGGGTCCAATGTAAAGAATTCCTCGGAGGAGGGCAGCCAGCCCCAAACGTCCCACCACTGCATGGGTGAGCACTGTGGTATGATGTAGGGGGTTGCAAATGGCTACATAGCGATCAAAAGCCATGGCAAGAAAGATGCCTGACTCAACAGTGGCAAAGCAGTGAATAAGAAACATTTGGCCCAAGCAGGCATCTAGGCCAATATCACCAGCACCGAACCAGAAGATTCCCAGAAGTTTGGGCATAGTGGAAGTAGATAGAACCAGATCAATGATAGCGAGCATGCACAGGAAGAAGTACATGGGCTGGTGCAGGCTACGCTCTACCCTTACCACAGCCAGGATGGTGACATTTCCCACCACAGCCACCAGGTACATGGAGCCAAAGGGGATGGAGAGCCAGATGTGCAGGGACTCCAACCCTGGGATGCCCATGAGCTGGAAGAAGCTGGGTATTGAGCAGACATTATGAAAGGTGAGCATGGTTATTTGTAAATGAACCTTTTCATTTGTGCACCAAAATGCATTTTCCCCTAGAAAGAAAGGATGATATTTTAATCTTGGATCAATAAAATGATATATAAGTACAGAAACAACAGCTTGAAATTAAAGAATTTCATACTACAAATGTCATATTGTGCTACAATGTCCATGGAAACTTAACAAGCACAAGTGAAACACATATTTGAATGAGTTTATGGGAGGGTTACTTCATGACCCTGGAGGAATGATATTCTTGCATCAATGAATGAATTGACCTAAGGCAGATATGTGCCCATTTGATTACTTACCTCTGCAGGAATATACTATGAGGTGGCTATTGTGATCATATCAGGGTGCTTTACAGAATAGACAGTTCCTTGAAGAAGACACATTAGAACTGAGCTACAGGGTCAGAATTTTGGGATAATCTAGACTCTATGGTAAATTAAAATTTAATCTTGAGACCAGCATCAACAATTGAATAAACTGAAAAAATGTCTAATCTATAAGCCAAAATCACAAGGCGAAGATGTGGGATGGTAAAGACAGGACTTGCTGAGGGTGCAAACAAAGTGATTCTTGAAAGATATGAATGCTTACTAAAGGTCAGTTTATGTATCTGATGCCCAAAGGCAGAATCTGGCAAGTATCTCTTTTCCCTTTATGGAGGCTAAACATGAAAATAAGATTTCAGAATCAGATAAGGTTATCACCAAGAAGGAGGAAAATACACTCAGCACAGAGTAGTGGGAAGCCTACAAAGTGAATATTTGGCCAAAGAAATGTATTTACTCAGAGACCAGAGCAATTGGCTAAAAGAGAGACATCTTTACAGACAAAAGGCATGGAAACAGTTTGTGTTATGGTGTCTTGTTTTGGTTTTAGTCTAAAGATTCAAACCAAAATCCATTCCTTATGCATGTTAAAGGAACTGAAAGAAAGGTAAGAAGCAATTTCTTTAATATCCTGAGCCAAGGTAAATGGACTATAGCAATAGTATGGATTGGGATTTTCTACTTCTGACTTCAGATCCTGGCAGAGGGAGTTTTTTAGAAAAAATTACTTTGTCCTACAGCAAAATACAAGTAACCTCACTTCACAACAACTTTTTTAAAAAGCTATGGCCTAGAGAAGTTGTCATGAGGACTGCATGCAGAACTGACACATACTAATACTAAGCATTAGCTGTTTAATTCAGCTGAAATCACTATGAAAAATCAAGAATATACTCAACAAACTTCTCTCTCCAGGGAGCAGTGATTCTTGGAGGATGGCCACCATGTAAAACAAGTATAGTAACTTGATTCTACCTAACTCCTCTCTGTAAGCCAGGCTCTCCCCAAGGTTCTCAAAGATTATTTAATGGATATAGTGTTGGCTGTAGCTGTACTTTGAAGATAAGTTTGTCATTATGGCTGGGAAGGAGGAGAAGGAACTGGCCTGTGAAGTCACCAGGTACTGGGAGATAGAGGCTTAGCTGGGGGGAATCTGGCTTGGTTTCTCTTACCCTATGTACTGATTATTCTCCATTTGCCCCACCAGATCCCTGCACACTGCCTCCAGAAACTGATATTTACAGGCTGTATCACCCAGATTCGCCTGTCTTCTGGTTTCCAGGTGGGTCCAGCCATCAGAGACTTCTGAATTCCCTTCCCACCTGGCATGTTTGGCAATGTCTTGGTTTTCTTCCAAAGGCCCCAGCTCCTGAAAAGTGACTCTTCCATGCTCTGATAACTACACCTGCCACTACCTAGTAAGGCCTGGGTGTGTTAACACTGCTCACTCTTAGTACCAATACTTTACCTTCCCTTGTCAGTTTTCTCAACACTGCCTGTGCCCCACATAGATAGCCCTATCAGCTGCTCCCCATAACCATCCTGTGTTTTTTCTTGTGGATATTAGACCAGACACCATCAGTACACAATCTTTACCCAGTATTGCCTCTTCTTAAACTTAAGAGTCTCTTTCAGAATGCTTAGGACACAGAATCTGAAATGGACAAGTCACAAAACTAATTCTGAAAGAAAAGGAGCTATAATCTCATGGCAACCAAAGGCTAGACAACCTTTTGCCCTGATTTTCAGATTTATAATAAAGTGAGACATGTCTGTTTTACCCCTTACTTCTAATCAAATGGTTTCACTTTACTGCAGAAAAGGGAGAGTCCTTGAATGAAAACATCTTTAGGACTTGCCAGGCAAATTCTGTGATTCTATCATGCAGCTGTTGCTCCTCTTGTGTTAACAAGCAAGTTGTTTCAGAGTCTTTTTTCCCTTCTGATGAGTTCCTTCACTGCTGCTCTGGAAGAATATTCTCTCCTTGGTTTGGACAGAGAAGTTGTGATATAGGAGGATCTCACAGCCCCCAAGTCACAGATGAGGTTACATGCTTACCTAGTGAACTGTGAACATGAGAGGAAATGACTTCTAGAACCCAGCAGGAATCTGCTCCATCACAGACCTTGTTAGAGCCAAGCCAGATGTCTGTAGTCCTCTGACCTAACCTAAAGCCCTGAAAGGGTAGTCTCGATTTTTCTTCTTTGCTTCCTCATACATGACAACAGAGAACTATTTTCCTAATGAATATCCCACCTCTACTTCATCTCTTCCTATCCATCTGTGAGCACATTATGAAACTAGAAAAGGTAGCCATGACTGGAGAGTACCTCACCTATTAAATGAAGGTGTAACAAGCCATTTTTTTCTCTGAGATCCTAACACTATGAGTATCTACTTATGCCTTCCTAGTCAGAAGCAGACCTCCTGAGCGGGGATGGTGAGAGTGTGGTAATGCTTCACTGCAGGACAATCTCCCACCTGAATTTCTTATCCAGATATATTCACCATAACCAACCACACCTCTAACCGTTCCTCACCCTGCTTACTACCTTCCAAAAAGGCTGAATGTTTATTTTTCAACTATATCATGTCTTTCTGCCTCTAGGAATTATCCATGTTGTTTCCTGATGTTGTTGGAATGGCCCTCTCTTCCTTACCTGGCAAATTCTTGCACATATACCTTGTGCAAATTCTTGCACATACAGTTTAGACATCATCTTTTTTAGGGATGCCTGTTTTCACCCTTAGTACAGTGCCCTACTTCTGTTTTGCAAAGTTCTCTGAATGGCCTACTGATGTGCATGTTTCTCCAAATAGAACATAAGTTCCAAAAGGGTATTCATTATGCCTGTCTTGTTCTCTATTGTAAGCCCTGTGCTACCACAGTGTCTGGCTCTATCGAATGGGAATAAGCACCTGAAGAGGTATCTTAGAGTCTTATATTGGCATTAGTGAACTAGCAGCCTCTTCAGCTTCCTTTTGTGTGGTCTTATGTGGAGTCCACCATTAAATCCCCCTTCCAATAGAATTCCTGGCCTCTGGTTGTTATCTTGGACTCCTATGTAGAAACATGATCTAAAGTTGGCTACATAGGAGTCCCAGATCTTCTCATCCTTAGAGGCTGGGACCCTTGCTACTTGTCTAGATTCCCTTCAAAGATTCTCTTACCTGGTGTGGATCATGTCAGAAGAGCCTAGGGCTCTGAAAATGCCTCAGAGATCTTGAACTTATAAAGATTCTCCTCAGGAATCCAGGGAAATCCATCTGAAAGTAGTGGGGAGGTTCAGAGTCCAATATAGAAGATAATAGACAGGCTAGTCCCAGAAGAATGATCACAGAATCTTAAGTGTAAGAACAACTATCCCCAGCACATCAACGTTAGTCCAGAGGGGAAGGACAGATCTCTTGAGTTATAATCTCTTGGGTCAAAGCCCTGCTCTTGCTCCTCATATCTGGCCCACTGAAGTTGGAAGCTATTCTGAGGACACTAGATAGAAATTAGAAAGTCCTTACTGGGATAGAGATGAAGAGTCTTTTTGGTCTCAGAAATAAGAGATTAGAGATTTATGGCCAGGCTGACCTCTAAGTTTTATCTCTTCACAGTATTTGAGAATGGAAATAAAATCCCAAATTAACACTAAGACATCTCAATAGCAACACTGCCAAACTGCTAAACTAGATATAAAGGCATCTTCCTCATTGTGGTTTACGTCAGGAGAGAACTCTCTGAACTCGTAAAGAAGATATACCACTCTAGCCACATTTTTATGAACCCAACATTATCAAACATCCCTTTCCTCACAAAGGAGAAAAGCCAAAATGGAGTATCCTACTGGGATGCTCATGCGTTAGTTGGTCATCGTATTCTAGGATATGTCATAGTCTCTAAAACTCCAAAGTCGAGTCTGCAAAGCCAGCCCAGCTGTGTCACTATGTGACTTCAAGATATTTCATCTCCATTTTTTCTAAAATGGAAATGATACCTATTTCGTTGGGTGTTTGTTGTTAGATTCTGTATGAAAAGGAGCTAGTAATACAGTAACACTGTCACTGCCATTGTTTCCTTGTCTTCAGGAGGAGTTAGCTCTCAAAAGCCTGGGAGACACAACCTTTTTCTTCAGATCAGGAGCCAGTATGGTTAGGAAAGGGAAAAATGCATTAGAATCATTACAGGAAGGATCCATTTTCTCCTCCACTCTCCTTTCAGGGGATCCTATTTCTAAAGAAGCTCAGGAGAAGCAAGAAGCTTGCACCTGCCCCTCCTAACCTTAAACTTCAGTTCTGTGCAAAATTGCTGGTAGTTACCAAAATATACAGGGTTCCTTCTTGCTTCTGTGCATGTGCATAGGCTCTCCTCTCAGCCAAGTAAGAAAGAAATGAGAATGTCACTACACATAAATTCATATCTAGTTCCTGAAACTTGGCTCAGTTTTTACCACCGCCAATGGATGGACTCTGCCTTTAACAAGCTTAAAGTTTATCAGCTGAGATAGTCTCGTTATAACTGGATATTTTGCATAGCATCAAACATGCCAATTCAATAGTTGAATCATTGTTGAAGGTTATAGTAAAGCCTCACGCCTTAATCATCATGTACCTACTATCAAATTTTTCATTTTTCTCAGTTGATAAAGAGGTATGCATCTGATGTGCAGAATGACA